GTGTATAGATCTTTTACATCTCTGGTTAGATTTATTCCTAAGTATTTTATCTTCTTGGGGGCTATTGTAAATGGTATTGATTTGGTGATTTCCTCTTCGAGGTTCTCTTTGTTGGTGTAAAGGAATCTAACTGATTTTTGTATGTTTATCTTGTATCCTGAAATTTTGCTGAAATCTTCTATTAGTTCCAGTAGTTTTCTTGTGAATTCTTTGGGCTTTTCTGTGTATAAGATCATATCATCTGCAAACAGAGATACTTTGACTTCTTCCCTACCAATTTGGATGCCCCTTATTTCTTTTGCTAGCCTAACTGCTCTGGCTAGGACCTCCAGCACAATGTTGAGTAAGAGTAGTGATAAAGGGCATCCTTGTCTTGTTCCCGTTCTCAAGGGGAATGTTTACAAAGTCTCTCCATTTAGGATGATGTTGGCTATTGGCTTTGTATAAGTGCCCTTAATTATATTGAGGACTTTCCCTTCTATTCCTATTTTGTTGAGAGTTTTTATCATGAATGGGTATCGGACTTTGTCAAATGCCTTTTCTGCATCGACTGATAAGATCAAGTGGTTCTTGTTTTTTGTTTTATTTATATGATGGATTACATTGATTGTTTTTCTAATGTTGAACCATCCCTGCGTACCTGGTATAAATCCCACTTGATAATGGTGAATTATTTTTTTGATATATTGCTGAATTCTATTGGCTAGAATATTGTTGAGGATTTTTGTCTATGCCATCCATTGTAAATAAATAAAAATAGAACTTTGGAAACCTTAGTAAATTCTTAAAGTATTACAAACGGATAAGAACCAAAGAAATTCTTTAATGCCTTGTGTGTTTGTCTGGGTCCTCGGAGACGCATTCGCCAGGACAAAATTAAATGTGCAAGGATTTTATTAGGGTAAATGACTATATGCATGTATGTAAAGGAAAATAAGGGAGCAGGACAAGGCTGAGAAAGACATCAGACCGCAGGATGCAAATCTGACCCCTGTGAAGAAGCAGAGAGATGGTGGGGAGAAGCATCCTAGACTGCCCTGCAATCTAAGGAAAGTTCAGCAAAGCCCTTTGTTTGTGGAAATCCTTGGTCCAAAGTCTAATGACAAAAGAGTCCCGTCTCCCAGAAAAGGGTCTGCTGGACAATCTCTGATGTTCTAGTAAGGGGCGGGGACCAGCTCTTACGAGGCGAGGCGTGGCCTCAGCCTTGGCCCAAATTCAGCCACGAATTTCAGAGCAGTAACTGGGGCCCTCAGTTCATTACACACTGTACGCAATGGAGAGGTGCGTCCTCGCATCTGCCACACCCTGGCATGCAAAAATGCAATATATTCTGCCTGACTGGTTTACAGGTTCGACTTGATCTTGAGTTTTAAGGCAAATTCCCTGTTTTCCCTCACTAAAACTTTTCAGTAGCTGTGAACACAGAATCACCACCTCAGGTATCTAAACCATAAAGTCAGTATGATTTATGGGACCTAGCAGATGGACTCACCTTATCAGGACCCAACCCTCCAGAAGGGACTTGAGAAACTCAGAATCTAAGTTTGGGCTATAGGGTATTGGGTCAGATATCCAAATGCCTGAAAAGAATATTCTGGTAGAGAAAAATTTGAATGCTGTTTCAAAAAACAGGTTTATTAAGGGTTAAAAAACAATTGCAATTGGGGAACTAGGTAGCCCATTGAAAATGGAACCAGGTATCCTGGGGCAGTTTTGTTATACAAAGTATTCTTACAGGGTCAAAAAAGGAACCAAACCAAAGGGAGGGCAATTACACAAAAATCAATGAATATTATAATACTCACACACTGATTGGTTACTGATTATTAGTAGTACAGTTAGTGATTACAGATAGTTTCACAGGTTGCTTAGATCATGGTCACAAAGGCGCCCTGGTGGCATAGTAGTTAAGAGCTCAGCTGCTAACCAAAAGGTCGGCAGCTGGAATCCACCAGGTGCTTCTTGGAAACCCTGTGGGGCAGTTCTACTCTGTCTTACAGGGTCGCTATGAGTCGGAATCGACTCAGCGGCAATGGGTTTGGTTTAGTTTATCTTGCAAAAATACTTTGTTGGCAACAGCACCCAGACAGCACTCTTCCTGAATACATGTATTTTGAGGGATACAGATGGTCACTTGGTTAAGACCCCCTGAAGCATATGGTTTCACATCCTGGTTTTGACCACCGAGGAAAAACATGTTTTTTTCAAAAAGCATTTAGCTATTAGTCTAGAATCCCGATTAAAATTAAATAGCATGGTCAACATATTATGCCTCTATCTCACTGACTGCCCTCCAAGTTGTCTTTTCCTGAGACATTGTTGTATAGGAAGGACAGTGACCCCCTGATTTAAAGACCCAATATGTGCCAGAACTGTACTCCTGCAGAAAACAGTCAGGAGAACGCTGAACTGGTTCCCTCAGTGTGTTGACTCTTCCTAGCAGCCTGTCCGTCTTTAATTCTCTAGAAAGCCTCTTTTGTTAAGTTTCCTCTCATATTTGGAAAACTTCTTGACTTAGCAGACAGGAATGAGGCAATATCATTAAAGTGCTTTTTGTATTCAGAGAATAAGGGATGACTTTTTATTTAAACTGTACATATTTTTAATTCACAGGATTCAAAATTACAAAGGCCCAACAAGATAATAGAGGCAATGTCTCCCACCCTGTCTCCCAGCCACTGGATTCCTCTCCCCAAAGCAACCAATGTTACTACTTTGTTTTATATCTTTCCAAATACATTTTATATATATACAAGCAAATATGGAGTCCCTGGGTGGTGCAAACGGCAACCGTTGCAACCCACCCAGAGATGCTTCAAAGATAAGCCTAGCCTTGAAAACTTTACGGAGCACAGATAATTTTTAAACTTCACACCAAAAATATTCCCTTAAGTTTTCTTAAAACCAAACAAAAGTTTAGCTTAACTAGTAAAAAATGTCTGCTTTGAGCAGTATGCTTTTGTAAGAACTATCTATACAGGATCAAATTGACAACAGTAACTTCAAAGATTAGATAGAAACCTTAGAAGGCAGTGAGTTTATGCGGGAGCAACAACTCAGAAAAGGAGGGTGAAAATGGCTGCTCAACTCAAAGAATATCATCAATGTCATTGAACTGTATATGTAGAAACTATTGTAATTGATGTATGTTTACCTAGAAGGTAAAACATACTCCTTGCAATCAAATCCTGAGTTTAGAAATCCTTGGAATCCTCTCATTCGGCCCTGCCTCCTGAGCCATAGGAAGAAGGGGCTCAGCCTCAGCCAATCACCGAACTGGAGAGCTCTACATACCCCACCCCCCACCCCCACACCTACATCTGCCTGCCACATCGCACTCCGTTCCACCTTTTTCTCTATCAGTAGTGCACTGAAGTGAAGGAGCCCTCATGACGCAGTGGTTAAGCGCTTGGCTACCAACCGATAGGTCTAAGGTTCAAACCCACCAGCAGGCTCTACGGGAGAAAAGACCTGGAGATCTGCTCCCATGAAGATTACAGCCTAGGAAACCCCATGGGGTAGTTCTACTCTGCCCTATAGGGGCGCTATGAGTTGGCATACACTCGACAGCACACAACAAACAACAAATCCGCTGAAACTAGGTACCTGGGTAGACCCGGGTTACGTGATACCGCCTCCTAACGTGACGCGAGCTGGGTGGGGAGAAGGAAGAGGGCGAGCCTTTAAGTGCATACGTCATCACTTCGCGCATCCGTGGTGACGAAAACGGCGACGATCACAGTGACGGCTACAGAGCCTCCGGGTCGGGGCGGCGGCGGTTCGGCTTCACTTGAGCCGCCTGCTAGCCCCGCACCCCACCCCACCCCACCCCCACGGGCGGGGGACGGGCCTGGCGCGATTGGGTGGGCCCGGGAGCGGAGGTGAGTTGCGCGGAGGTGGTGGCAGTCAACCCTTTTCTTCCTACCCCTTAGCTCCCGGTTTTGGCCCTTCCCCCATCTATCGTTTCCTTCCGAGGCGGAATGGGTGAGACGCCCTGGAGAGTAGGAAGACTAGGGGGCTTCTGGCAGCGAGCGCCCTCCTCAACTCCGCCCTGAGCTGCGCCTCTTCGGTACCTTCACCTGACGTTGTCAGAAGAGACCGCCTTCTCTTTTCTCCTACCTCGAATATGCAGAACTCCCCCGCCGCCTCCCCGCCCCCCGAATCCCCATTGGTGGAACCTCTCTATTCAGATGTTAACGGGCGTTCTAGAATAGGTCACCTGAGAAAGGTGAGGGTGAGGGTGAGGGATGTGGCTGAGACTTCGCCTGGTGATAACTTGAAGAACAGGAATCCCAAAGAGGGAAGGTCATACTGCATTAGGGTTACTGTCATTTTGACACTAGAACTATAAGCCCAGTCATAGGCTAACCGCCCCCCCGCCGAAATCTTCACAGTAAATCGGCATTTGTTCAGACCTTCCTTATATCCCCAGAGTTGAAACTAAGTTGACAAAACGAAAATCCTTTTGAAAAACATCACGTTTGATGAATCACCTCCTGTTCTGTAAAACGGATCTTGTAGAGCTGTTGGAGGGATTATCTAGAGCGTTGATAGAATTATATGCTAACTAAACAGAAGTAGATGAGAATTTAGGGAAGTAGTGAGGAGCTCATTTTTGCTATTCAAAGGTTATGGTTGTGAGTTGGGGATTGTAGAAGACAACAGTTTTTTGTTTTGTTTTTTTTCCCGTGAATCAGTTCAGAAAGTTTTGGGTTCCAAATAAGATCAACTGTCTTAGTCCACCCCTCTTCATTCCCTAGAAGTTGCCCTAGACGGGGGGAAAAAAAAAAGTGTGACTAAATCTTGTCAACAATCAAGAAAGTACTCCTGAAGTTGATTTTTTGATGTGTAGTATATTAGTTCATTTTACTCATGTATACACGTGAATTTTGCAAGTGACAAGCTATGGCAGTAAAGTTAGTGGAGTTCTGAAAGGTTTATAATTTTAATAAGGCTCTTTGAGTATAGAAGAATAACTACACATACTGTTTTTTTAATGTTGATGAACATTTACTAGTAATGTAGAGTAGGGAGACTCTTCTAGTGAACAGCTCCAAGTGCTGAATCAAGTGAAAGTCCATAGGTAGCTTGCATGGTTTTCATTAGTCAATGTAGCCATTGCATTCTCATTTGAGGTTTTCATTATAAGAGGTCCAGATATATTTGGAGGTCATCATAAATAATTTTTTGCGTACTCTTTAGAAAAAGTTCATTTTCACCATCTGTGGCCTTTCTTGCTCTAAGTTGAGCACACAGTTTTTCTTATATTCAATAAACATTTATTGTGCACCTGCTAGGATAGAAAGAAATATAAAACAGGATCCCCACTCTCTAAACACTTAATCTACCTATGGATATCAGCAGTGTTATCACCCCTTTACGGAATTTTATCATTTTATCGTTTGAGACAACAATCATGTGAAAACCTGCAGGACATGTATAGTTTCTTTCTACTTACAATACAGTTTAGTATTGGTTATAATAAATGTCAAGTGGTAGGGCACTCAGTGAGGTTAGAATTCAGAGAAAGAAGAGATCACTTACTTGGAATAGTTAGTAGCTGGATTGTGTGTGGCAGTGATGCCGGGAGGAAGAGTGCTCTGTACTGGTGGAGGCTTGGGTCTGAAGAAACCTCCTCTTAGTTCTTTAATTTTTTAAGTTAGTTGAATATGTTCTGTTTCTTCCAGTCCTTCAAATAAGCTCTTTTTTTTTTCTCTCTCTCTCTCTGTTTTAGTTGTAGGATCCAAGGACCCCTTTTGTTCTTTCTCCATATATCTTAATAAGAGGCATTATGGCCCCTAAAGACATAATGACAAACACTCATGCTAAATCCATCCTCAATTCAATGAACTCCCTCAGGAAAAGCAACACCCTCTGTGATGTGACATTGAGAGTAGAGCAAAAAGACTTCCCTGCCCATCGGATTGTGCTGGCTGCCTGTAGCGATTACTTCTGTGCCATGTTCACTAGTGAGGTAAGTAATAAGTTATCTCCTCACAAGTGAGATTCACACATGTAATCTTGTAGTTATCTCTTTTTGCTGAGTAATGTAGCAGTTTGATGTAATAGTGAATTTCTGTATCGAGGTGGTTAAATAAAAAGGCTCTGGAAAAGGTCTGCCATTTAACCTGACTAGTTTTCTCATCTCTAAAATAGGGATAGTAGTAATACATAGTAACATAGCTATTGTGAAGATTGTATGAGGAGTTACATGTAAAATGATTAGAACAGTGTTTAGCATATAGGAAAAAACTCAAATGTCAGCTATCGGGTTTTACTTTTTTATAAAGTTGTTTCTCTGCTTTTATCCTAAATTTTAATATTTTAAAGTGACTACCAGAGGGGTGGGGAGAAGGGAAGGAAAGAGGAGGAGTGGAATTCAGTCCTCATCCCATTCCTCCTACGATAAGTGAGGAAAATCAGTATTCATTCTACCAATATAGATTTAGAGTAATTTCAAAAGAGGGGAAGAAGATATAATGAATGGTTGTATAGGTATATGGAGTATAACTTGGAAAAAGATGCTGACTCTGGAGTATAAGCAATTAACAAAAGAAATTAGGAAAGGATTGTCTTGACAAGAAAAACAGTAGTGCTCACAAAGTGTTAAGAAAGACTGTTTAGTAACTTCCTGGCAAAATACTTGAAGAGCAGAATAAGGCTGGTGAATATATTATGAGGTACTCTTAGAAAGTTGAACAGAGGTGAGGGCTGCAACTTTTTTGTTTTTTAAGATCCCAAGTCTGATTTGAAAAATAGATTTAAATAAATTATCTTGATTTCTTAAAACCAAGTGCTTGGTATACCAGTGTTTATTATGTCATTTATGTATGCATGAAATATTTCATCATAATACTACTTTTTAAGAAATCTTATTAAGCATCAGTATTTAGTTAATCCTATTACCTTAATGAAGATGTTGCTGCTGGATCTGAATAGGAAAGGTGGCATACCATAATAGTGATAATAGCTACCTATTATGGGCTATGTACTGTGCTAGGTGATTGTTGTACATATCTCACTCACCCTAGGGGTAGGTGTTAACCATCTTATTTTACAAATAAAGAAATAAAGTCTCAGATATGAATTACCCAAAGTCACATGGCTTGTAAGTGGTACAGGTGGGATTTAACCCTAAATTTTTTTAATACTAAAGCCCAAATAGTTTTTAACTACTTTGCCTCCTTAGCCTTTGAAATATGGATTTTTATATTGTATGATCTGATTCTAAAACCATAATAGTTTATGATGCTATGAACCAAAACTCCGTCACATGGCTATTATTGGGAAGAACATAGAAACCTGACAAGTCATTCTAGCTAACTCGGCTAATTTTAAAACCGTCTTGTATAACATGACTTTACAGATCCCTATCCTATACTTTGCTCCTTGGTATATGACCAAGAGCATCAAAAGCAGTTGGCATTTAACTGGGTAGGAGAGTGTTACCCAGCAAGTAGTGAGCATGAAATACTAATGTACTAGGACTACTGACCGCTAATTATATATTGTGCATCCTGTTCTTTGTCAGCTTGAAAAAAATTAGTCTGTTTTCATCCTTTTTGTACACATTTAGAAATTAGTATGGAATTATGTAAGAGAATTCTCTTTTTTCTCATTGGTGATTATTTTATAGTTTTTCTTAAAAAACTGACATCAGGCAAGAAAATGCCAAATGATTTTGTTTTTAACAGTAGTTAGTTTAAAGGAGTGGATCCAGAGACCTGGATTCCAGGCTCAACAATCTTAGCAATTCTGTATGAACCCTAGCAACCATCTGATTTTATTGCGTTGATCTATAAAATAAAGTGACTGAACTAGAACTTTTCAGAGTTCTATTCCACCTCTGGAATGCTCCTCACGTGTGGTCCAGTTGAAAGATCACAGGACTGAAGCAAAAGGAGTTTTATCAGTTGTCTCTTACTAGTTAAGTGACGTTGGTTGAGTCACAAACTTCTTTGAATACTTTCTCTCTTACCAGGTTGCTGTGAGAATCAAATGAAATAATAGTAAATGATAAACACTCTGAAAAATTGGAAAGCAAAATATAAAAGTAAAGTGGTATTGTAATTGCTCTAAGTCATTACATAGTAAAATCATTTCCATATTTAAACTGTTTGGCTGTTGGAAAATACAGTTTGTTTATTGAATGAGAAACTTCTAGAATAAATGTACTCATATATTCCAGGGTCATTAGTAATGAATATATTGCATGTGTTGGGATGGTAATTGTTTAAAAAATCTAGTATGCTTTTTCCAAAATAATGTACTGGTGACTTTTTTTTAATATTAGGGATTGATTTTGTTCTTGGCTTTGGTAGAGAATGCTTTTTCATTATTACTCTGGGTTAATGGAATAATCAAAGGTGATGAAGCTATTTATTTTATAATGGAGGTTGTCTTAAGCTAGGTTCTCCAGAGAAGCAAAACAGTGAAGTGCATATGTGGAGAGAGAGAGAGATTTATCTCAAGGAAATGACTCACATGGATGTAGCGGCTAGCAAGTCCCAAGTCCGTGGGTTATGCATTAGGCTGGAGGTTTCTCCTGACTCATGTAGCTGCAGGGGCTGATGAACTCAAGATCAGCAGGTCAGGTGGCTGGCCGCTGGCTCACAGGTTGCGGAGCCTGACGAATCCCAAGATCGGCAGGCAGTATGGCAGTCTGCTGGCTCAAGTCACAAGAACGGAGGTCAGATGATGATGCGCTGAATGCAGGATCCGGCTAGTGAGCTTTGCCAGAATGTCCATATATATTGAATGCAGGCCACATTTCCAAGGAAACTCCACTTATAACTGATGGGCTGATCACATCAAATCACATCAGAGAGGTGATTACATTATATCACAAAATGGAGGATAACTGCATCATTATGTAACTGCCAAACTGCTGAGAATTATAGCCCAGCCAAGTTGACACGTAACCTTAACCATCACAGAGGTGCAGTGGAGTTTTGTGACTAATACGAATTTCTAAACTAAGGTTAAGATCTAGTAAAATTTTCGTAAGGTAATCAGTTTTGAAATAGTTTACTGTCCTGTAAAAATTTAAGATTTCCACTCTGAGCTAAACAATTATTATCTGGCTTCATCAATACTTACAACCGTAAGAATATATTCTAAATATTTTTTTAAAAACCCATTGCCATTGAGTCGATTCCGACTCATAGCAACTCTATAGAACAGAGTAGAACTGCACCATAGGGTTTCCAAGGAGCACCTGGTGGATTCGAACTGCCGACCTTTTGGTTAGCAGCCGTAGCTCTTAACCACTACATCACCAGGGTTTCTAAGACTAAAAATATCACCTGTAATTCCATAATCAAAAGATGGAGCTAACCTAATATTTTGAAAAAGTATCAGACTGTTCAGTTGTGTATGGAAAATGTTACAGCAGAGCCCTGGTGGCACAGAGCTACTAACCAAAAGATCAGCAGTTCAAATCCACCGGGTGCTCCTTGGAAACCCTATGGGGCAGTTCTACTCTGTCCTGTTGGGTCACTATGAGTCAGAGTCAACTAGACGGCGATGGATTTTTTTTTTAAAAGTGTTACGCCAGTGGGTTTTTTTTTTTTAAGTATTACAGCAGAAGCCTCTTTGGAATGATCCACATGTTCCTTCTTGTCATTACCAAATGTAGTCTAGGGACAGATGAGAAGGACATGGCACTCCTGGAGGGCCTAGGGGCATAACCCACAGGGTCCTGAACAAGCATGAAATTCCTTTTGTGTTTTATCTTAAATGGTCATGAGCCCTAGTGGTATGTTCATGAAATTTGCATTCTATTCCATAATACCTTTGTGTTTGTTTTAATATGAAAGCAGTGTTTTAATTTACTCAGTAGTAAAATTGATATTCCAGGAAGATGTCACCTCACCATGTACTCTTGGTGCACACACACACACACCCCATTTGGGACCACCTCCCCATCATTTGAAAAACTGTATACACATAAAAATAATACAAATATGTACCATATTTGCTTTATGCAGATCAAATAAAATAGACTATAATTTTTTAAAGATGTGTATTCAATTAATATTATTAACATTTCTTCAAGCTGTTGGATATGAGATTCTATCTTTATCTTTTGAAATTCTAACCACCGTTATTTTATATCTTGAATTTTCAGCTTTCTGAGAAGGGGAAACCTTACGTTGATATCCAAGGTTTAACTGCTTCTACCATGGAAATCCTACTGGACTTTGTGTATACAGAAACAGTACATGTGACAGTGGAGAATGTACAAGAACTGCTCCCAGCAGCTTGTCTGCTTCAACTGAAAGGTACAGACATTAAAAGTTGCTATTGTTCATGCCAAAATAGGCCTGGAAATCTTTAAAATTAATAATGTAAACTTAATCATGAAAATTTTGGAGACAGACTGTGGGCACTCATATTTTCCATGGCTTATGTCTCTTTGGGCAATAGAAGATCAGATATCAATAGCAATGTAAGGGAACCTCTCCAAATGTGAGTATGTGGCTCTTGAGAAGACAGGATTTATACCTTTTTTGTGTTTTAAAAAATGGCAGAGGGGATAATATATGTGCTTTCTTACATATATGTATACAATGGCCCTGGAAGAAAATAAAAGAAGCTGATACTATTCATTACCTACATGGAAGGGAACTGGGGGGCTGGGGGGCTAGGGAAGCTAAGGAGACTTTTCATGGTAAAACCTTTTGTATCTTTTAAATTTTGAACCATGTAAATTATCTCTTCAAAAATAATATTAAAAGTGATGCACAAAAATGAGAATATAAAGTTTTCACAGGATTAGAGATGGTCCCCCTTCTGGTTCCCACTCGTGTCTTTCTTAACCTCTAGTTTTTATTAATTTCAGTTTTTATATATGCATGACTGAAACTTGTTCAGTTTTGACATATGACTGAAACAGTGTGAAGCTTTTGCATTAGTGCACAGTTAAGAAATTAAGTTTGTACTCTGAACTTTTCAGTTAGAGAAGCATGAGATTGTTATTAATACCTTCTATTTTCCTTCACTGGAGTCTTTCGGTAAGTTTTCACATAAAGTAAAAATTAAGCACTTTATGCTGAATTAGTAATTGTTTTTTTAACTTGATTCCCAAGAGTTTTGTAGGCATTTTTTTAATTGCACCCAAAACTGAACCAAACCAGTTGCCATTGAATTGATTCAGACTCATAGCAACTCTGTAGGACAGAATAGAACTGCCCCATAGGGTTTCCAAGGCTATAATCTTTATGGAAGCAGACTGCCACATCTTTCTCCCTCAGAGCAGCTGGTGGGTTCCAACCGCCAACCCTTTGGTTAACAGCCGGACGCTTAACCGCTGCACCACCAGGACTCTCCCTTTAATTGTGCCAGTGTCCCTGAAAACAATTGGTCTTGCTATACTGGTTTTAAAGATGAAGCAGAGACAGGTATAAAGGCCTTGCTGAAGATCACACAGCATATAAAACAGAAGTAGGATTTGAACTCCTTAAGCGTAAAATTTCTAATCTGGTTCTTAGTTGTTGAGACAGAGTTCCTCTGATACTGTATTGAGAAAATGTTGAGATTCGAGAATATAGACCAGTTCAACACCTGACAAGTATCCTGAAATATTCACTGTCTTTGTTTGTCCTAGGTGTGAAGCAAGCCTGCTGTGAGTTCTTAGAAAGTCAGTTGGACCCTTCTAATTGCCTGGGTATCAGAGATTTTGCTGAAACTCACAATTGTGTTGACCTGATGCAAGCAGCTGAGGTCTTTAGCCAGAAGCATTTCCCTGAAGTGGTACAGCATGAAGAATTCATTCTTCTAAGTCAAGGAGAGGTGGAAAAGCTAATCAAGTGTGATGAAATCCAGGTACAGATGTGGCTTTAAGACTGGGCCATTTCAAAATTTGCAAAGCAGGGTGGAGTTACTATGTCTCTGCAGCAGGACTTCTTAATCCAGTGCCCGTACTGGCTCCAAAGGTTTCATTAACCCTCCTGAAATTATAGGCCAAATTTAGTTGCATATTTATAGAGAAAGAGGTAGCCATTTTCCTCAATGAAGTATATGATCCCAGTAGTTAAGAATCACTTTTTAACAGTGTAGAATAAGCAAAAATTGAAAGTGGAAGTAGATTTCTATAGAACTTCTCTATTACCCATTCGCTCATTTCACAAACATTTATTGAGAATGTTTCCTATTATGCCAGGTGCTACAGATCTAAAAATGAGTAAGACAGTTCTTGCTTTCAGAGAATTCACAAATATAGTAGTAGAAACAAACATATAAGCAAAAAATTATTATAGTAGATTATAATGAGAGTAATAGCAATGCCTATGCAAGGTAAGGAGATTACATAGAAGAAAGAAAAATAAACCTCTGCCTGGAGTGGATCAAAAAGGAAGGGACAAGAAGTTGGAGGTGGTGATCTGTGTCAGCAGGGGCCAGATTCTAAGTGCTTGTGGAGGTGGAAGGAGGGTGGAAGGAAGGGACATGTGAACTGGGTATTGGAGGAGTAGTACTTCACCTAGCAGAGGGGAAACTACCTGTGCCTAGGCAAGCGTTCAGTGACTTAACCCAGCAAGAAGAGTCTTAGTCCTAATTCAGAATCATAGTACCAATAGGTTAGCAGAGTTTTTATTGCATTTGGGCTGTCGTTCGGCTAAGAATTGTAGCGAGAAATCCAATACAGGGCCAACATATGCCTTTGGTCTCTAGTGACCCAGTTATTTAATTTAGTTAGTAGTTTCTAGAAAATTCCTAGCAGAGTCAAGTGGTAGGATAAAAGTCTACTTGCTGGGTTTTCTTTCCCCCAGTTAGGAAGAATTAGATTTTCTAGGAAGGCTAAGAGTTCATTTTTTTGGTCTCTCCTCAGTAATAAAAAACAGATTTTAAATTAATGGATTCCTGGAAGTTAGTGGCACCTCTGCAGGTATATGCCTCAATTTAAACAAGAAATATATTGGAAAGAATCAAAACTTGATTAATAGTCTAAGTCCTTGAGGAGGAATTTGTTACTTAAAGAAATCCTGTAATGTAAATAGACTCTTTTGTAAACCAGATGATTACTCCCTGATTTATTTTATAAAAGTAGGATTTTTATGTAGTATAATAACAAGTCTTAAATAAATTTTTTTATCAGTTTTTTTTTTTTTCATTCCCACTTTTGTTTTTTAACTCCCACACATCTTGTCAAATTTGAGCCAACTTTTTCTTTACACCGTTCCCTAGTGAATTTTCTGAGGGAAAATTATTTAGGGCTCATGGGTGACATTGTTTCCAAGTTAAGAGGAATTATTTTCTAGCTTGACATGCTGTTTCATATCAACTCAGAGAAGCTGCTATTACAAATGCTGCTGAACCAAGTATTTGCTGTTCTTTGTTTTTTACCCTCATGGTGTGGGACATTGTGTCCTTGCACTGACATGCAAGGCATAGCCAAAGTATACAGTCTTAAGGCTTGAAAACTGGTAATTCACTAGAATACCTTGATTTTTCTTATTTGTCCATATATTAGAAAATATTGTGAATAAAGTGGACACTACGACTTGAAGTTCACTGTACATAAGAATAAAATAGCTAACACTCAGCGTTTATTATTGGTTCATTTATCAAATGTTTATTGAGAGCACTTACTGTATGCCCAGACAGTTCCAGAGTGGAGTTACAATTGTGAACAAAACGTTTAAATATCCTTGTACCCTGGAGCTTACATTCTAATGGCACTATTTTTGATATTTTGTAGAGATTATTTTATTTGATTCTCACAACTGTCTCCATTTATCAGAGAAGGAAACTGAGGCTTGGAAGTTAACTACCATACCACACCTAGTAAGTGGTAGAACCAGGATTCAAATTTAAAGCCAGGCATTCTGGCTTCAGAGTCTGTGCTCTTAACCCCTAAACTATGAGCTGATTAACTTGTCAGTTTGCTTCTGATTGGCCAAATAAGGAGGTAGTCACAGAAGTCATTTATTTCACAACTGTCTACAATAAAACTAAATGGAACACAGAGAGAGCCAATAACTAGCCACCTTATTCAGAAGCTGAGATGAAAACTGTTTGAGAACCCTTGTGTATGGTCTTCCTTAAGTGTTGGTCAAAACTGGCCTTTGCTTTTTCTTTTTTTTTTTTTTAAAACAGCAAATGACATATTTTTTCTGTTCCATAGAGCAGCTAGAAATAGAAACCAGATGTCTTGACTCCCAGTTGCTAACTAAAGCTTCCTCTTATTATTTAAAACAATAGTACTCAAAACAATGGGAAGCGGTATATCATATGAGTTAAAACAACATGGGCTTTGAGTCTTGGCTGTGTGACATTGGATAAGTTACCTAATCACTAATCTTCAGTTTCATCTTCTATAAAACGCAGATAATATTAGTACTTAGTACACAGACCATTAAATAAAAATGCCAGTGTTTGATACATAAGAGAATTCTCCCTGAAAATTTGTTATGGAGAAAATTCATTTCTCCCCATAGTTAAACAAGAGTGTTGTGGGATTTTTTTTTTCCTAGTTTAGCTGTTTTTCTGCAATTACAGTTTATTCTGTCTTCAGTTAGATCAAGGATCTCTGTTCATAACTGAAAATTTTGATATATCTAATTTAAACCTAGAAAACATCAGACTTCAGCATTGAGCTGCTTAGAAATTTCAGCTTATCATTTGTATCTTTAAAAGGAATTCTTAAAAACCTCATGGATACCTTTCTACACTCTCTCCTCCATCTCATCCATCAGTAGGCTAGATTAGTTTTGCCTCCCAAGTATTTCTCCAGTGCCTCTGCTTCTCTCTATCATCACTGCCATAACGGTAGTCTAAGCACCATCACCTCTTGCCTAGTGTACCAGAGTAGCCTCCTAACTGGTCTCTCTGCTCTTGACCCCTCCAAACTGTTCTACCAATGGTAGCCAACGTAATCTTCACAAAATATCATTATGATCATGTCACTAGCATGCTCGAAACCTTTTAATGGTTTCCAATGGCTCTTAGGGTAAACTCCAGTCTTGTAATGCTCTCTGTGATCTGGCCCTTGCTTACCTCTCTAGCTTCATCTTTTACCACTCTTCCCCCTTCATTCTACTGCACTAGCCTTTATCATTTTCTCAAGCTGTCAGTTCTTTTTCGCTTTAGGGCAGTGCTATCCACTAGAACATTTCTGTGAAAATGGAAATGATCTGTATCTGTGCTGTCCAGTTTGATAGCCACTAGCCACAGGTAGCCATTGAGCACTTGAAATGTGGCTAGTGCTACTGAAAAACTAAATTTTTAGTTTAATTTTAATTAATTTAACCCTAAATAACCACATGTGACTGGTGGCTACCATATTGGACTCTGCAGCCCTAGGGTCTTTGCATGTGCTTTTCTGTCTGCCTTGGATGACTCTTTTACTCTCCTTGGCTCATTGCTACTCACACATCAGACTTCAATTTATTGCTTCTTCAGGGAGGCCCTTCACTGACCCACCAATCTAAATTAGAAGTCTCGTGTTATCTTGTATCTTTCCTATATAGTGTATAATGACAAAGTGGGATTGTTTATTTTTCTGATTGAACAACTGTGTCTTCTCTTAAGAGCAAGGATCGTATCTGATTTGTTCACCATTATATAAGCCTCCGGCACTGTGCCTAGCACTTGGTAGGCCATCAGTAAATCTGTGGAATGAATGAACTTTCTGAAACATTTTCTGCGTTTCTAGAGTACCACAGTTCTTCGAAAAAGTTCATGGGGATAGTTTCTTTCTCTAGTCACAATCACATGCTGAAAAGTATCTCTCAGAAGAGAAATGCTTTAGGGGCTGGTGGAAGGAACACAGGACCTATGCTTAGGTGTCTGCCTTTGGGAGGTCTAAGTGTCATTACATCTAGTGTCCTCCCACTAGTATAATGTAGGCGCTTCAGGGTGTATCTCACCTTACCCAGTTTGTCTCACATATAAGCTTAGACTACCTAAGTTCCCCCAGATAATTAATTATATATGCATCTTAAGTAGAATAGTGCCTAATACATAGTAGTTGCTCAAAGATGATTGACAATGCTTGGAAAACTAGAGCATTCCATATAATAATGTAAGAGAAGCTTCTGCTTTACAGGCTTGGATGGAGGGGTTGTTGGGGAGCATGGCTGGAGGTGATTAGACAAGACTTATGAATAAGAGTTATTTCAAGTAGGGAAACAAATTACTAGGAAAAAAATTGAGGAATGGGAAGAATTCTGAAGTGAAGGCTAACGTGATAGGCACCATCTCTCTTATGAACCATTTTTACCCAAGTTGACTGCAATTCTCTCCTTGGAGTGAGCTAGCTGTGTCTGAAAAGATCATTTTTCCAAGAGCCTATCTATTTCTGGAAGATTGGAAATAATGGTGATGAGAGTGGGGAGTGTCTTAGTTTAGTCTGTTGTTGTCGTGTGCCTTCAAGTCAGTTCCTACTTGTAGCGACCTTATAGGACAGTGTAGAACTGCCTCATTGGATTTCCAAGGAGTGGCTGTTGGATTTGAACTGCTGACCTTTAGGTTAGCAGCCGAACTCTTAACCACTGTACCACTAGGACTCCTTAGTTATCTAGTGCTGCTGTGTGACAGAAATGCCATGTGTGCCTTTAAAAAACTGAAGTTTATTTTCTCACAGTTTAGGAGACTAGAAGTCCGAATTCAGGGTGCCGGCTCTAGGAGAAGGCTTTCTCTCTCTTGCCTCTGGAGGAGGTTCGTTGTCTCTTTTGAGCCTCTGCTCCTGCGTGATCTTCATGTGGCTTGGCATCTGTCTTCCTCCATCTCTGCTCCCTTTCTTGCTTGTTTAATCTCTCTTACATCTCAGAAAATACACCCTAATCCTGCCTTATTAACATAACAAACATAACCTAATTCTCATTAACATAACCTAATCCTGCCTCGTTAATGTAACACAACCCATTCACGAATGGGATTGTAACCACAGACAGATACTAGGATTTACAACATGTATTTTATGGACAGTTCAGTCTATAACGGGATGAGAGAGAGAAAGTAAGCATAGTTTACCTTTGAGAATGTGAGCTAATTTGAAAGCAGAGATCCATGTGTTACTATTATACATTTACAGGTAGATTCTGAAGAGCCAGTCTTTGAGGCCGTCATCAACTGGGTGAAGCATGCCAAGAAGGAGCGAGAGGAGTCTTTGCCTGATCTGCTACAGTATGTTAGGATGCCCCTGCTGACTCCCAGGTATATCACAGATGTAATAGATGCTGAGGTAAGTCACGCAAGACACACAGGATCTGACAACTTTTGGAGTGTCTCCTGTAGCTTTATATTGTGCACTTAAAATTATTTTAATGTAGGCAGAGTCTCCTGGTTATCTTCTCCAGGAATCTCAGAGAGAGTTGTGCATCATAGACCTCAGGCATATTTCCAGGAAAAGTTAATTGCTTGGCAAGTCAAGCTCCTGACATAGATGAAAATTTATGATTTAATTTAATTTTGTGGGTTTCTTTTTTTTTAACATGCCCCTAAGTATTTTACATAGCCAACATCATATGATAAACTTTGTCCCCTTCTCCTTTAAACATAAAGTGTTCCAATTGCCCTGAAAAACAGGGCACAGGTGCTTTGCTTAGCAGCCCTCTTTGTTTTTGACCTCTGCTGAAATCAGCATGAAAGCAGTTCAATGCATTTTAATATCAATTTTAATTATATCATTTTGAGTTTATTTTTTAAAGTGTTTCTCCAACCTAAGTTGCTTGTAGTATATTTTCAAGATATTTTACCATATATACCACGTATATTAGTTGGACCATACTTTGGAGCAACACTGATATCATGTAGATATGGCCCATATCAATAATGAGTTTTTCCTGCTAGCTGAACCCCAGATTTCTTTTGGAGTTAACTACAAAGACAGTCTTTCAATTGTTCTTGCTAGAAAAGTTGCAGGCTGGTTAGTGTAACATCTCAAACACTTTTTTTTCTTATTTGTAATTTCTCTCTGATAACCCGTCCACATACACGTTGTGTTTGGTTCTTTACACAGTGGTTAGGAACACAGACTCTGGAGCCAGACTCTGGGGCTAAAATCCCAAATTCACCACTTACTGTGAAAACCTTAGGCAGTTTAGTTAATTTATTTGTGCCTCAGCTTTCTTATTTGTAAAGTGGAAGTAGTAATAGTACCTACCTCATAGGTTGTTGTCAATATTAAATAAGTTAATATATTTAAACGCTTTTATGTACAAGTTGTCTTGTACATAGCATTTGCTACTATCATTGTTTTTTTCCTTTTTAATTCATAGTGAAAATTTCTTGGGTTAGGTTAATAGAGGTACTATGTAATTAGAGCTTCGTCAGTCCTGTCCCAGGTGGCATACTCAAAAACAGGATAATTTGAGGAGGGTTTATTTAGAAGGGAGCTCTTTAAAAAAGTGCGAGTTAGGGGAATAATAAAAGATAGTGAAGTAACCTGGAACTCATTCAGCCAAGTTGTTAGCCACCCCAAGGCCTGAAGGGACAAGGTCAAGGACTGGTTACCAAAACCTGGAAGGAAATAAAGTCAGGTAGAGTTGCTGCCTGGCGAGTAGCTGTGACCTTTGGTTGAGGGATACAGCCCGCTTTGCAGTGAGGGAGCCAGGGGAATAAAGACCCTGACCTTCCTCTCCTTCCTCCCAATGAGTGAGCCCAACAAGAAGCCAGAGGGCACAGGAGCCCTATTGACATAGTTGATATAGTTCATACAGATCAATCTTTTGAGTCAGAGAGCAGAGTGGAGAAGGGTACAAAGTGAATCTGGGAAGGCAAATGAAAGATACCTGGTAGAGAACTCTATCAGAAATGCACAAAGGGAATCTAAGAAACAGCTATTGTTCTCTACTCATCTGGAGCAAAAGACTCAAAGAAGAAACTAGCCCACTGAACTAATAGCCCATATGAACCACAGCCTTATTTAGTCTGAGACCAGAAGAACTAAATGAAGCCTGGCTACCACTACCGACCATTCTGACCAGGGACACAATAGAAAGTTCATTCATTCCACAGATATGCTGACGACCTACTGAGTTCTAGGCACTGTGCTGGAGACTTATATAATGGTGAACAAATCAGATACGATCCTTGCTCTTAAGAGAAGACACAGTTGTTCAATCAGAAAAATAAACAATCCCACTTTGTCATTATACACTATATAGGAAAGATACAAGATAACACGAGACTTCTAATTTAGATTGGTGGGTCAGTGAAGGGCCCCCCTGAAGAAGCAATAAATTGAAGTCTGATGTGTGAGTAGCAATGAGCCAAGGAGAGTAAAAGAGTCATCCAAGGCAGACAGAAAAGCACATGCAAAGACCCTAGGGCTGCAGAGTCCAATATGGTAGCCACCAGTCACATGTGGTTATTTAGGGTTAAATTAATTAAAATTAAACTAAAAATTTAGTTTTTCAGTAGCACTAGCCACATTTCAAGTGCTCAATGGCTACATGTGGCTAGTGGCTATCAAACTGGACAGCACAGATACAGATCATTTCCATTTTCACAGAAATGTTCTAGTGGATAGCACTGCCCTAAAGCGAAAAAGAACTGACAGCTTGAGAAAATGATAAAGGCTAGTGCAGTAGAATGAAGGGGGAAGAGTGGTAAAAGATGAAGCTAGAGAGGTAAGCAAGGGCCAGATCACAGAGAGCATTACAAGACTGGAGTTTACCCTAAGAGCCATTGGAAACCATTAAAAGGTTTCGAGCATGCTAGTGACATGATCATACTGATATTTTGTGAAGATTACGTTGGCTACCATTGGTAGAACAGTTTGGAGGGGTCAGGAGCCGGGAGACCGGTTAGGAGGCTACTCTGGTACACTAGGCAAGAGGTGATGGTACTTAGACTACAGTTGCGGCAGTGATGATGGAAGCAGAGGCACTGGAGAAATACTCGAGTTTCAAGTTCAAAGGGTACACTTAGGGCGATAGTCTCGCGGGTTCTTCTAGTCTCTATCGGTCCAGTAAGTCTGGACTTTTTTAGGAATTTGAGTTTTGCTCTACAGTGAACTTTCTGATAGAAACTAGAGGAACACCTGTGACTGTCGCCCTAAGTGTACCCTTTGAACTGGAAACTGAAGCCACTCCTAGTGGTCACCTTTCAGCTAAATACTAGATTAGCTTATAAAATAAACATATCACCTGTGAATACTGTGCTCCCTTGAATAATCAACTATATGAGCCCAAAGGGTCAACATTTATCGTAAAACAAAGATGAGAAGGCAAGGAGGAGACAGGAGGCTAGATCAATGGAAACAGAGCAAACAGAATAGAAATGACAGTGTTGTGAAAAATGTAACCAATGTCATGGAACAAGTTGTATAAAAATTGTTAAGTGGGAACCTAATTTACTATGTAAACTTTCACCTAAAACACAATAAAATATTAAAAAAAAAAAAATGCACAAAGGGATTATGGTCGTCCTGTGAACCTTGGAGAAATCAGTTCAGGCAAGATATACTTCTCCCTATCATCTCAGAGAATAACAGAAGGCTTTTGGTTTCCCCTTAGAATTCTTATTAGTTATTGTATACTTATACTTGCGTAATCAATCATCAGAAGGATCTACAAACAAACTATTAAAAGTTATTACATGTACGTGCCAAGGTGGGTGGGAATAGGGCTAGGAGCGAAACTCCTTGATATATATCTTCTTATATCATCTGATTTTTGAACCATGTAAAACATATCTGTTCAAAACATATATTTAAAAAACTATTTCTGGAAACCTACAGAACAGTTATTACCAGCAGCCCTTCTGGGATCTCAGGGCTTTGGAAACTGGTTTTCTGTATTAAGAAGTTATTTCTTTATATGTGCCATTTGTACTCTAATTAGCATTAGAGGAGACCCCTGTAACTCACTGCACTATGTATCCACTGTATTTCAGCCTTTCATCCGCTGTAGTTTACAGTGCAGAGACCTAGTTGATGAAGCAAAGAAGTTTCATTTGAGGCCTGAACTTCGGAGTCAAATGCAGGGACCCAGGACAAGGGCTCGCCTAGGTAAGCTGGCATCTTGGCAGAATCGGGATATTTTTCAACTACCGCTTGGAGGCAGCTTAACGTAGTTGGAAAAAGCACTGTGTGAGAAGTAAAAAGACCCTGTTTCAAACCTGTTTTCAGTCATTTCTTAATTGTGTCATCTTGGGCAAGTCACTTTACCTCTCTGAGCTTTGTTTCGTATACACAAGGATATGTTCCCTGTCTATTCCACCACCGCTATTTGGAGGATTAAGGAGCCTTGGGGGCGCAGTGGTTAAGCATTCGACTGCTAAATGAAAGGTCGGCGATTCAAACCCACAAGCCACTTCACGGGAGAAGGATGTGGCAGTTTGCTTCTGTAAAGATTACAGCCTTGGAAAACCTATGGGTCAGTTCTACTCTGTCCTGTAGGTTCCTATGAATCGGAATCGAGTTGAGGACACACAACAACGACGACAGTCTGGAGGATTAAATGAGATAAAGTGTGTGATGCAATTATAACTTGTCAAGCATTATGCAATATGTTAGCATTTTATTTCAGTATATTTAAAATCTGTGAATTAGAGATGATTTGGAATGCCATGTGTTCAATGGTATGCTCTCACCCCCTATTCCCTTGCCTTCATGTGTTTTTTCCGTTCTGAAATGAAAAGAGGAAGGAAAGGCAGCCCAGTATAGTAGAAAAAGTACAGGGGTTCTGGCAGTGATGTGCAGTAGCTCAGTGCCTGAACTCTGGAGCCAGACTGTGGGTACAGATCCCAATTCACCACTTACTAGGTAAATTAACTTGGGCAAGAAACTTAACTTCTCTGTACTTCAGTTCCTCATCTGTAAAATGGGGATCATAAATAGTACTTACTCTAAGGTCATTATGAAGAGTAAATGAAGTAATTTACGTAAAAGAACATTTCTTGGCACATAATAAGTGCTATATATGTTAGCTATTATTTTAACAAACAGACCAAAGTTCAAATCCCAGCCCCACCAGTGACTGGTTGTATGACATTGGGCAAGATATCAATTTATCTCAGCCTATGTTTTTACCTCTGAAATGAAGGTACCAATGTCTTATTTTACTAGGTTATTAGAAGGATTAAATGAGATAATGTATATAAGATAATAAATACTCAGATGTTACCTCACTTCCCATTTTCTAGCCTCCCTACTTTACTGTCCCAAGAGCCTAGATACAATGTGTAAAAGCATTTTGTAGGTTATAAATTACTCTTTATATGAGGTGGTATTTTGTTTTTACTGTTTCCTGTTCTTAATCTTATCTAACTTTGGATTCATGTAAGCTAAGGTGTTAATTAATAATTAAGCTGTTCACTGATAGGTTTCAAGGAGCCCTGGTGATGCAGTGGTTAAAGCACTCAGCTGTGAAACAAAAGGTCAGCAGTTGAACCCACCAGCCACTCTGTGGGAGAAAGATGTGGCAGTCTGCTTCCATAAAGATTTATAGCCTTGAAAACCCTATGGAGCAGTTCTACTCTGTCCTGTAGGGTCGCTGTGAATCAGAATTGACTCGACGGCAGTGGATTTGGTTTTGGTTGGATAGGTTTCAGTACAATAGTGATTTATTCCCCACATTTTTTAATGATATAAGTACTATATATTCAATACAGAAATTTTAGAAATACAAATAAGCAAAAAATAAATAAAAATCACCCATAATCCCACCACCTAGAGATACCTGCATTTTTTTTGAAAAGGGAACTCTTAGAGAAGGAATAGTAGATAGTACTGTTCTCTTAGTTGCTATAGGATAACAAAATGTGCTCCGTATCTCATGCAGTACACAAAGATACATAGTCAACACAAGATAGACTGAAGGGCTAAATGTGAAAAACTATGAAAATATTAGAAGAAATTATAGGAAAATATTTGTGTAGCTTCTGGGTGAGATTCTTTTTAACTAAGATATAAAAACCCAGAAGCCTTCTAGGTTACTTGACTTACATCATTTTTTTTTTTTTATAATTGATGGCAAAGGACATCACAAACTAAGGCAAAAGACATAAACTGGGAGAAAATATATTCAGTAAGGATGACAAAAGGTTAATATTTTTAATAAAAAAAGAACCTATATAAGTCAACAAGAAAAAGACAACCCAATACAAGATTGGCAACAGAAATGTGTAGGCAGAAGATTGACAAAAGAGACATTCAGGTAGTGTATCGAACAGGAAAGGAAAAGTAAGTCGTCAATAAAAAATTTAAAATATATTTCACTAGTAGGTCTAAAAATAAAGATTGAAACTTATTATAACGTTTAAAATGTGCATGTCCTTTGTGTCCCACTTCTGGGAATCCACACTGTAGAAATAAACACCAATATATAAGGATATATGTTTAAGAATGTTTACTGTAAGTTGCTAGCACTGGCAAAAGAAAGGGGATACAACATGAATTCTATCTGAAGGAATGAATAGTTGACTTACTTATAATACAGCTGTACTATGGAATATTATGTAGCTGTTAAAAGCATTGAGTCAGATATATGTAGCTGGGTAGACAGACTACCAACCTAAGTGGGGAAAGGGGAAAAAAAAAACTTTTTTTATTAAAAGTTTTATTTACATATGCGTGTTATGTTTGTATGAGCATAAACAAGTATGCAAGAATCTACACTTAACCTTTGACAAGGTTACTCCATGGAGATGGGATTGTAGGGGAATGTTAACTATTAATGTTTTACTTATATACTTCTGTGTTATTACCATAAGCATGTGGTTACTTTTGTTATTAAAAAAATTATAAAATATATTTTTTTAAATACCATGTGAGGCAGTGATGGAGGGGAAAGAACCTGGCGCTAAGGAGATAAGACATTTTGGTTTCACTCCCAGTTCTGTCACTCACTATAGTAACTTGCTGTGTGAATTTGGACAAGTCCTCTAACCTCTCTGGGTTATCACTTCATTTCTATATTAAGTGCGTTAAGTTCAATCACTAAGGTTCTTTCTAATATAGAAGATACATATATAATGATTTTTTTTTTTTGTAGACCCAAAGGTGTCCTAGAGAGTACATGATAGCACTAACTAATTGCCTGTTAAATTGAACTAAAGCCAATGAAAATTTTTGTGAATCAGCAAACCCGGAAGATTCTTTAGAGATACTCTCTTTGCATTTCTCTGAATAGGCAAAAGAAAGAGCTCTTGCTTGCTCAAAGAATTTACTTGTTGCCCTGACCTTGAGGGATTAGGATATGCTTCTATATGCCTTCATAGTTTTGAAATTAGTTTTCAGAAGTTCTAGAAGGGAAATTCTGAAGCCATCTCCAACTACATTCTTAACTTGTCAGTGACTTACAAGGTAGATTGTTCCTACCATCCTGTCCTCTCCCCATTTGTATTCATAGAGGTTGCTAAACCAGCTACCAGAATAATGACTCTTCTGTATACAGCATAAGGAAATTAAACCTGGGTTTCAATAGCTAAGTAAAAATAGCATGCCAAATAAAGTTTGGGGATTTTGTTTTAGTTATTAACCTCACCCGCTACTGTCTCACAGAAAATGTATGGAAATTACATTCCTAATTTGTGGCTGTCTCCTTTTCTGAGCTACAGATCAATGCAAATGGAAATGTAGGTCTCTGAAAGCTGCTCCTTCAGCAATACTGCTATCTATCTGCCCTATTCCTTTAACAACACATCACAGCACATACTCACCCCTCGCCCCGCCAAAAGAATAATGACCATAGCACTGCCAAGATGCCTCTGTTTTAGTAATGTACTCTTTCACTCTGTTCTTGTCAGATTTTTTTGGACACACTTTCCTCATCATAAAGATAAAAATCTAACTTAACAGTTACCCCGTTTATTGGCAAAGAAGGAAGAGGCTTCCTTTTGGCTAACTCTTTCATTAGCTGCTCTTAGTTTTAAACATTAGATTGTTAGAGTAGTGGTCCCCAGCCTAGGAGACCTAGGGCCCAAAGATGTTAAACTCTTAGGCATTCTTCCAGGAGCGAAAGACTTTAGGCACAAAAGCTATGGAAGAAATCACAAAGGTAAAGATCAATGTTTTTGACTAAATAAAAATTTTTATCTTTTCTACCTCAAAAATAGGCACAAAATTATAAGGCAAGGTAGGAGAAAGAGATTCACTACAACCACAGCGAAGGATTAAAATAATTTATATGTAAAGAGCTCATAAAAATGCATGACAGAAACACTAAAGGTTTGAGCATACAGTTCACAGAAGGGGAAGTACAATGGCTACTCAATGTAAGGGGAAAAGGTTTGACCTACCGGTAATTAATAATACAATCTTATTAAGCATAAAATAAGAATTAAAATAATAAATACAACCTTTTGTCTACCAAATCATCAAAGATTAAAAGACAGTAGTGCTAAAGAGAGTAGAATGAATTGGAAACCTTTATATAAGTGTTGGTGGGAGTATAAATTGTACAACCTCAGAATGTAATCTTAATCTTATATGTCAAAAGATTTTTTAAAACTTTATGTTCTTCAATCCAGCAGTCTTCTCATTTCTATATTAAGAAAATAACCGGGAACATGTATACGAGACTAGGTACACTAGCCCAGGAGTAAAGACAAGAAGGCAGGAAGGGACAGGAAAACTGAACAAATGGAAACAGAGAACCTGGGGTGGAGAAGGGGAGAGTGTTGACACATCGTGGGGTTGGCAACCAATGTCGCAAAATAATTTGTGTATTAACTGTCTAATGAGAAACTAATTTGCTCTGTAAACTTTCACCTAAATCACAATTTTAAAAAAAATAACCAGGAAAAGTTTCATATTCAAGAATATTTATCACAAGATTATGTGTGATTGTTTATAACACAAAATTGTGAACCACTGAAATGCATAAGAATATTATAGAAGTATGTAGTAAAAGATTAGCTAATGCCTTGGGGAAATGAAATAAAAACAGCAGGATACAATACAGTGTCCTATTTATGTTTAATATATATATTTAGAAACAAGGCTGGAAGAAAATATTACATTTTGGTGTGTCTTTGGCTTGTGAATGATGGGTAAATTTTAAGAAAATCATTTTTGTGCTAGAGAAAGCTATATGGGCTAAACAGAGACATTAGACTTCACTAAAGTTATATCGATTCGTTGTGAAAACAGGGGTACTCTCATACTTACCAAAAGCTTTGTTGGTGGTTACCAACAGTAATGGGAAAGTTAATTACTTAAACTCAGTTTGGTAGACAGTTTTCTAAAACATAGGATCTATCAGGGGAAAATAGTAAAAAGCAGTCCTTTATGGCAAAGAAATTTGGGAACCAGTGGTCTAGGGCCCCAGCTACCAGAGCCATAAAATTCCAGAGCGGCTGACATACCTCTGTCCAAGTTCCACCGTGCGCATATTGTTAGCAGAATGTTTGCTGAGAAACTTTCAACCAACAGGAAGTACTGTCAGCACTCTAGGTTTTGTAGCATGATCTAAATATTTCCTATCTGCTTCTATGCCCCCATCCTTCAAAAACTGCCTGAATGCAGTTATAAAGGAAAAGAGTTTTTTCCCCCTAGTTTATCTTCTGGGAATTACATTGTTGTTGTTGTTAGGTGCCTTCGAGTCGGTTCTGACTCATAGTGACCCTGAATACAACAGAATGAAACTCTGCCCGGTTCTGCACCATCCTCATGATTGTTGCTATGCTTGAGCCATTGTTGGCAGCCACTGTGTCAGTCCATCTCGTTGAGGGTTTTCCTGTTTTTTGGTGACCCTCTGCTTTACCAAGCATGATGTCCTTCTGCAGGGAATGGTCCCTCCGGATAACATGTCCAAAGTACATGACATGAAGTCTCGCCATCCTCCCTTCTAAGGAGCATTCTGGCTGTACTTCTTCCAAGACAGATTTGTTTGTTCTTCTGGCAGTCCATGGTATATTCAATATTCTTCACCAACACCATAATTCAAAGGCATAAATTCTTCTTTGGTGTTCTTATTCATTGTCCAGCTTTCACATGTATATGAGGCAATTGAAGATACCATGGCTTGAGTCAGGTGCACCTCAAAGTGATATCTTTACTTTTCAACACTTGAAAGAGATCTTTTGCAGCGTATTTGCCCAATGCGATACATCATTTGATTTCTTGACTGCTGCTTCCATGGGCGTTGATTGTGGATCCCAGTAAAATGAAATCCTTGACAACTTCAGTATTTTCTGCAAGTTCAAGTTGAAGCTGAAGAAAATTAAAACAAGTCCACAAGAGCCAAAGTACGACTTTGAGTATATCCCACCTGAATTTAGAGACCATCTCAAGAATAGGTTTGACGCATTGAACACTAATGACCAAAGGCCAGACGAGTTATGGAATGACATCAGGGACATCACACATGAAGAAAGCAACAGGTCATTAAAAAGTCAGGAAAGAGGAAAGACCAAAATGGATGTCAGAAGGGAGTCTGAAACTTGCTCTTGAACAGAGAGTAGCTAAAGTGAATGGAAGAAATGAAGTAAAAGAGCTGAAGAGAAGATTTCAAAGGGCGGCTCGAGAAGACAAAGTAAAGTATTAGAATGAAATGTGCAAAGACCTGGAGCTAGAAAACCAAAAGGGAAGAACACACTTGGCATTTCTCAAGCTGAACGAACTGAAGAAAAAATTCAAGCTTCAAGTTGAAAATTCAAGAATTCTATGGGGAAGATATTGAAGGATGCATCAAAAGAAGATGGGAGGAATACGCAGTCACTGTACCAAAAAGAATTGGTTGACGTTCAGCCATTTCAGGTGGTAGCATGTGATCAAGAACCGATGGTACTGAAGGAAGAAATCCAAGCTGCATTGAAGGCATTGGCAAAAAACAAGGCTCCAGGAATTGACAGAATACCAATATGAGAAACTAATTTGCTCTGTAAACTTTCACCTAAATCACAATTTTAAAAAAAAATAACCAGGAAAAGTTTCATATTCAAGAATATCACAGGATTATGTGATTGTTTATAATGCAAAATTGTGAACCAGTGAAATGCATAAGAATATTATAGAAGTATGTAGTAAAAGATTTAGCTAATGCCTTGGGGAAATGAAATAAAAACAGCAGGATAGAATACAATGTGGTTCTATTTATGTTTTGTATATATATTTAGAAACAAGGCTGGAAGAAAGTACTACATTTTGATGTGTCTGGAGTGCTAGAGGTACTCATCTATGGCAAGAAATTTGGAAGACAGCTGCCTGGCCAAGGCTGGAAGAGATCCATATTTGTGTCCATCCCAAAGAAAAGTGAGAAGTTATTGGACAATATCATTAATATCACACGCAAGTAAAATTTTGCTAAAGATAATTCAAAAACCGTTACAGTAATACATCGACAGGGAACTGCCAAAAATTCAAGCCGGATTCAGAAGAGGACGTGGAATGAGGGATATCATTGCTGATGTCAGATGGATCTTGGCTGAAAGCAGAGAATACCAGAAAGATGTTTACCTGTGTTTTATTGTGGATCATAACAAATTATGGATAACATTGCGAAGAATGGGAATTCCAACACTTAGTAGTGCTTATGCGGAACATAGACCAAGAGGAAGACATTCGGACAGAACAAGAGGATACTGCGTGGTTTAAAGTCAGGAAAGATGTGCATCAGGGTTGTATCCTTTCACCATACTTACTCAGTCTTATGCAGTGGGAGTTACATAGATCAACAGAAATTACAGCTGAAAATCAGTTTGGAGTATTGTCATTCTCTTCTCCATACAGGTATCATCCACTAGCATCATATTCATCTACAAGGGGAAATATATTTGGATGGAAGGATTGCTTTACCTTCTCTGTTCAAGTCAGATGGACAGAATAGGTGGGGTAAGAAGAGGTAAATAGGGGAATAGTGCTGCAAAGGAAGAAACAAATAACTTGTGGCCCTGGCCTCTCCCAGCTTGAAAGAATTTTATGTACATATAAAATTATCCTAATATGAAAGGGTCCTTTCTTCAAATGCTTTGATTTTCTAAGAAGCTGACTGCTGAGACCTACTTTTTGGCTCACTTTGGAGAAGGGTCCATTTACTTTGTTGATCAAGTGTAGGAGACAGCTGCTCTCTTAGAAGATGAGATGCAACTCCATAGTTTATAAACTGTGTGTGTTAAGAAAATTTCAAACATTAAAAAAGTAACATATGTAATGTTCCCCCTATACCCATCACCCACCTTCAACAATTATCAACACATGTCCTATCTTCTTTCGTCTACTTTGTAACAAATTTCAGACAAGATATAATCTCATCTATATATAATTTAACATATCCAAAATACCATTATCACATCTTTTAAAAAAATAAAAAACTATAATTCCTTATTATCCTCAGATATCAAGCACCTGTTCACATTTCCCCAATTTTTCCATAATTTTTGTCATTTGTTTTTGAACACTTAGGTTGTTCACATCAGGATCTAGACAAGGTCTGCATATTGCATGGGGTTTACATTTCTCCTTGGTTTCTTTTAATGCGTAAGTTTCACCTCCTGCTTTGTTTTTTTCCTTGCAATTTATTTGTTGAAAAAACTAGGTTGTTTGACCTATAGAATTTCCCACATTCTGGATTTTCCTGCTTGCATCCCTGTAGTGTCACTTAACATGTTTATCTGTCCCCTGTATTTCCTTTAAACTGGTAGTTAAACTGGAGGCTTGATAAGATTCAGGTTCAATATTTTGGAAGGAATACTTCATAGGTGGTGGTGGTGTACTTCTATTGCATCACATCACACAATATCTGATTGCCCATCCATTATAAAGTAGTATACCAGCTTTCCGCTTATTGATTTTAGCAGCCGTTGATGATAATTGTCAGATCCATTACTTCATTAGTGATGTGTTTTTTGTCAGCTTGAAGTTGCTGTACTTATTCTTTCAAGTCCACATGAATTGTAAGATCGGCTTAGTCTTCCGAATGGCCTCCTAGAAATCAAATTGTCTAAAATGCTCCAGCTAACCATTCTCTTTTATTGAATATACTATGGACTGCCAGAAGAATGAACAAATCTGTCTTGGAAGAAAGTACAACCAGAGTGCTTATTAAAAGCAAGAATGGTGAGACTTCATCTCACATACTTTGAACATATTATCAGGAGGGACCAGTCTGTGGAGAGGAACATCATGCTTGGTAAAGTAGAGGGTCAGCAAAAAAGAGGAAGACCCTCAATGAGATGGATTGACACAGTGGCTGGAACAACAGGCTCAAGCATAACAATGATTGTGAGGATGGCGCAGGACCAGGCAGTGTTTTGTTCTGTTGTACACAGGGTCACTATGAGTCAGAAACGACTCGATGGCACCTAACAACAACAACAACCTTTCTCTACATTGGTTCTAGTACAGTAGATGCACAAGGACTTCCTCAATGGAAAGACATGGTAGGGAGTATTTTATTAGAATAAGTTCTTGGAGAAAAGAAGAGAGGATCTAAAGGCTGTCAAAATAGCTTCTTTGGGTAAATGGTAGAGAAAAAAAAGACTTTCTCTTAAAGCGTAATGTATGGTCACCTCACAAGGAATTGGCACAGAACATGGTCATATATATAGTTGGATAAATTGGAAAAGTAAAAGTTCATAGGGAAGAGATTTTAAAATCTATCATTTGGTTCCTTCACCTCAACTCCCAACTTTTTAGAGACAAGGTTAGGAGATGTTGCTTCTCTGCCAATTTGAGTTTTACAGGCTGAGAAGGGAGGGCGCTCCTTTAGCCTCCCACGTGCACTTAGGACCTCAGTTAGTGTGTCAGCCAGAGTTATCCAGATGGTTGAGATGGTGTAGTGGTATGATCAGCTGGTCTACTGGGGTCTTAATGTTGTCCAGAAATTTAAATTTCAGAATCAAGTCCTCAAGAGCAAGGACTTCAAGAAGAAATAATTTCCTATTAATAGCCTTATGACATACCTCCTATTTCAGATTGCTTCTCTGGGCCACATAAAACAAGATATCCTAGAACTGTTTCTCCTTATACTCCCTGTGAGTAGCTACGCAGCCAGGAATGATGAAGTAACCTATCTTTTTCTCGCTTTATCCTCAGGAGCCAATGAAGTGCTTCTGGTGGTCGGAGGCTTCGGAAGCCAGCAGTCTCCCATCGATGTGGTAGAGAAATATGACCCCAAGACTCAAGAGTGGAGCTTTTTGCCAGTAAGTTGTAGAACCAGCTGTGGGCAGAGAGCTTAAATGTCCTCATTCCCTGACTCTAGGTCATAGCTAATCCAGCCCTAAGACTAGAAAAGCCTAGTAACAGTACAGTGTTCCTTACGACAATGTCTTGCACACAGTAGGTATGTAATAAACAGTTGTTGACTAAAGATTAGACTTCGGAAATGTGATTGGCCCTGTGTCAAATTAAATTCAGCTGGCTACAACTATTTTGGCACCTGTATAATTCCCAACATGCTCCATTGGTCATACTGGGTTAAACTGAACTCAATGTTAAATCGAAGGTAGTGTTCAGTTGAACTCAGAAGTTTGTGTCTTTCTGTTTCGGTACATCCTTATTTCAGTGCTGAATGAACAGTAATTATTCTTCTGAGAAAACAGACATCTTTTTGCTCAGTCCTACCTTTTTAGGGTCTTAGAATCCTGGCCCTTTGATTAGCAATGCTGCAATAGTTTCTTCTCATGGAAAAATATCAGTCTCTTAGCCCAGTGCCCTGTGGAGTAAAAAGGAGTCAGATACTAAATAATGGAAGGACATTAAATCCTTTGGAAGCTTTGGAAAGAGGTAAATGTGTAGAAGACTTGCATCTTTAAGAGCACCACAACAAGCAAGAGGGTATTCATTCAGTAGGCAGACAGCCAGAAGCCACTTCAGCCACTGCTTGAAGGACGGTTCATGGTGACAGGTAAAGAAACAAAGAGGTCTGTGGGTAAAAACAGGAAGTACAGCAAAAGGTAATGCCCAAAGAGTTACCTGACTTAAATGCTCTGTACCTGTTTTCTCCAAAATCCATAGAGCATCACTCGTAAGAGACGTTATGTGGCCTCAGTCTCCCTACATGACCGGATCTACGTAATTGGTGGCTATGATGGCCGTTCCCGCCTCAGTTCAGTGGAATGTCTAGACTACACAACAGATGAGGATGGGGTCTGGTATTCTGTGGCTCCTATGAATGTCCGACGAGGCCTTGCTGGAGCTACCACCCTAGGAGGTAGGCTTGATGTGCAGGATGATGTTTCAGTGTTTCTGTGATTGGATCAGGGTTCATACTTCTGTTGTCTGGCAGGAGCATGAAATGGAAGATAACTGGTAAGGTTAAATATTCCTTTTTGCTTTGGGAAATATTAATGCTACCAAAGCTATCCAGCATTCATGGTTGTTTCAGCACTCACTACTAAGCTGCAAATTCCCATGTGCTGGGTGGGAAACTGGCAGTAGTTGTTGTATTTTTACAAATTCCATCTAGGCTTTAAATGCTTTTGAGGATTCCACCTTGCCCCATTCTTTTTAGACTTAATTGGTTTATCCCATTAAAAACACTTTGATTTTTGCTCGCAGACATTTGAAAGACCTGTGAAGAATTTGTAGATAAGAGAGTTATTAGAAATCTCTCAAACTCTAATAGTCTGATTTGTTCTTTCTGGGCAGATATGATCTATGTCTCTGGAGGCTTTGATGGAAGCAGGCGTCATACCAGTATGGAGCGATATGACCCAAACATTGATCAGTGGAGCATGCTGGGAGATATGCAGACAGCACGGGAGGGTGCCGGACTGGTGGTGGCCAGCGGGGTGATCTACTGTCTTGGTATTCAGCCTGGGATACAAGCATAGGAAAGAACTTAGTGGGTAGCAGACGCTGGGTGGGAATCCCTTTTTACCAGAATTAGGTTCATAGACTTCCTTCAACTAAAACCATGGCCTGACTCAATATGTTTTCTGTTAATGAGAGTTATCTATTTTTTGTAAACAGAAGATAGGGTACTGTCAGTTTCTCTTCAGGTTAATGGAAGTGCTGTGGGAAATCTGAAACCAGAAGAATTAGTAGAAGCACTCAGAGAAAGGCAGACTGGGAGTGGACATGGGGATTCACCATTCTTTGTGGAATGATTTCTACTTTGTGTTTCAGGAGGATACGATGGCTTGAATATCTTAAATTCAGTTGAGAAATACGATCCTCATACAGGACACTGGACTAATGTTACACCAATGGCCACCAAGCGCTCTGGTAAGACCAGTTAGACTTACGAGGGGTCAAGACACAGTGCTATCAGATCTTGACATACACAGTAATGGTGCAATCACAGGACTGGGTATCAGTAAATCAGAGGTAAATTTCCCACTTCACTGTAGACAATGTAAAACATTAGTCAAATTCCATTCTCCTCTTTACCTCTGTTTTTCCTAATATTAGTGAGGATAAAGACAGCTTAAACTTTCAATTAGATTATAAAATTGAGGGGAAGAGCCTTCTTGTTTTATTCATTTTTTATGTCCTTGTTCCCTCCCCACATTCTGCAATGTCTAATACAATTTAGTGCATGTAGTACATATTAAATAAATGTTTATTGAATAAAATCTTTAATGCATAGGTAGCTATTTACCTTCACTAAGAAATTCTTGAAGTAGAGTAGGCTGAAATGTAAGAAAAGAGAAGGACACTGTACTAGTCTATCTTATTTCCTATAGGTAAAAACTGCTCCGAAACCATAGTCACAACTCCTTTCCTTCCTTCCACCTTTATTACCTTCTTTTCTTCACTCCCTTCTTTTCTCCTAATGAAGAGGAACCAAATTAATGAAGTTGAAGAAAAGAACCACTTCAGTTTTTCTTTTCTTGTTTCATGTCCTAGCCAAAGGACTTACAGATGGGAAAACCTGTGCTGGAGTAGATATTCTAGATCCACCTGGCCCCAGTTCACATCCCTCAGCTACCCTAGAATTGAGCTAGCCATCAGTGACTGTGTTTTATTTCTATAATTCAGATCCTAGGCTTAGTAGCATTCACTTGCCTTACCCTCTTTTTCCTACTTAGGTGCAGGAGTAGCCCTGCTGAATGACCATATTTATGTGGTAGGGGGATTTGATGGTACAGCCCACCTTTCTTCCGTTGAGGCATACAACATTCGCACTGATTCCTGGACTACTGTCACTAGTATGACCACCCCACGATGCTATGTAGGGGCCACAGTGCTTCGGGGGAGACTCTATGCAATTGCAGGGTAAGGATTTAGAAACCAGGCTAGAGTCGTCATGTATCTAGAGCAAGAGTCTGTGGGATCCAGTCTTCATTTTTGGATGGAGATAGAGCTTGGGTGGGGGAGTCGTCTCCAGTGGCATCCTTGATGAAGGACTTTTGTGGAAAAGAATCGAAAGTTCAGTTTCTTCTTTTGTTTCTTTTCCACTCAGATACGATGGGAATTCCCTGCTGAGTAGCATTGAATGCTATGACCCTATCATCGACAGCTGGGAAGTTGTAACATCCATGGGAACCCAGCGCTGTGATGCCGGCGTGTGTGTTCTGCGAGAGAAGTGACCATTGTTGGAGCATCAGCCAGAGCTAGTGACCAGTCCAAGGGACTGTTTGGGGGAGAATCAAGGATCCTTTCCAGAATGTCTATTTCTCACAGGGTGATTACAGGCACCAGTATGATGATAATTGTACTTATTTGACACACACTCCTCCTTGCGATGGTAGTTGTCCCTGAGTAGGGTGGGTAACAGACACTCGTGGACAGAGAATGCACATTGAATGGAGGTGGGAGACCATGATCATCTCATCTCCATGGTCTGAGGAGCACTTTGTTTTATCATGTGCTTGGGAGAATATATATATATGTATATATATGTGTGTGTGTGTGTGTGTTGTGCCTCATGTATTGCAGAGAACTAAGGTGTGTATGGCCTACTAGATGTTTGCAGTATCCAGCCTAGATGATTGGAAGGATACCAACTTGAGTAAGCTTGGTACACTCCAAGTCTTCCCCCCTCCCCCCACACCAAGGAACAAATATCTTTTTTAGTTTACAGGTAGCTAGGGATAACACAGTCCCATTCTGGAGGGGAAGAAAGGGGGAGGTCCTATCAAAACTTTGGGTGTCATGAGGAGAGATTCATGACACTCCCTCGGGAGACAGGGTTGGTATCTGAGGTTAGAGGGAGTAAGTGAAGTCAACTGTGAGTGAACCTAGAACACCACTGATGTATATCACCTGAGAGACTGAGAAGGGTGTGTTATTTGAAGGATCTTTTTATTTCCCCAAGGTCTTTCCAAAGTAGGGTGTTACACATCTTGGCACTGGAGACCATCCGAGAGAATAACAGAGTGAACACATGTTGAGATGAGAGGACATGGCATAAATGTGAGAGTTCAGAATGCCTGGGGATAAACTAAAAGTACCTGTGCTTTTACAATCGTCTTAATCCCTGCCAGGCTCCATCTAACCATGGCAAGGTTTGCCTTGAATGGGCGAGAGACTATCTTTCTTTGCTGAGTCAAATACTACTACACTATTACACTTCCATACTATTTATTTTGGGATGGGGTGGTGGTGGCAGCAGCCTAGTAGTTCAGCTACCTGGCTATTGCACGAGTCTTTTAAGGGCACACTTCTACGAAGGAGTGGTTTTTACTGCTGTGTTTGGTACGTTTAGTCCTTTTTCTCCTATAAGCTTCCCTTACCTGTCCTTAGAGTGGATTTTATTCATCCTGGTACAATCAGTTATTATCCAGAATAATCAAGGAGAACCAAAATTCTTTTGTTCCAATACCTCTGATGTCACCATTTCTAAGATACCATTCAAGGCTCCTCTGTGTTGTGTAGTGAAATTTTTGCTTTATGGGTACTGAGTGTGTGAGATAATAACCTAAACAAGGATGCACTTTCCCTTGCTCATAAATTCCATTTTTTCCCCCTTTCTCTGAGTTGTATTGACCCACAGAGTTAATTTCCTTTGTATTTTTTTAAGAAAATATTAAAAATCACCTGTCTCAAATGCCTAGGAGAGTTTGTGACTAACCAGCATTGCCTTCAGCAGACATTTGGGGCGGTGGTGGCAGATAGGGATCAGCTGTAGGTCCCATCTCTTCACCTTTTCACCCTGTGTCTTTGCCTACTAGTTCTGTTTCTCTGTTAGACACAGATAAGAGGTAGCTGCTTTACCATCATGGAGATTCTCATCAGTAAAATGTTTACCTGAATTTGCCATTTTCATTGGGCCCTTTCACACTTGGAGTTTACCTGAAAACGAAGGAGAGTAAAGAAGAGGCAATCTTGAACTCATTTAGCACCCCACTTGAATTTTAGGATTCCAGTCACCCTAGCCCTTTTTCTCTTTGCTTTGATTTATGGCAAGTGATATAAATAGCTATGCAGAAGTCCTGCAAAAACTTCAAAAATCCTTATATTCCCAGAGAAAAGGGAAGGAGGAACCACAAGAGGAAGTTATTATTACTAAAGGTGCCTGACAAGCTTTTGATCTGTGTTCTTTAACATATGGATTGTGCCTGTTGATTAAACAAATCACAGTCTACAGAACATGTGGTCCATGCTATCTCAGGAAGAGATTCAGGGTAGCTTGAAGGGGAGGCAGAGAAGTAGTTTGATAAGACTGGTGGCTCCTAGGCTGTCTTCAGTGCTGACTTCTCTTCTGAGCTTTAGAACATGATTTCCAAATATTTCATATAAAAAGCTGCAACTGAATATTCTGCAGAAAAATCAGCATGTAAAACTGATTGCCTTTTCCACTCTTTTCCTAGTTTTACACACTTTTTACATACTTGCACACATACAACCCCTAATTGGTGGTTCCTCCTGTTTTTCTTAACTGGAAACCGGCCACTTAGTTGCCCAACCTAGGAAAGCTATCATTTATATTGTGTCATCCCCATCACAATATATACATGCAATTCCTTTCTAAGTTCTACATAATTTTATGTTTGTTCCAAATCCATTCTCATACCTTCATTCCCTCTGCTACCAGATAGTTCAGGCCTTTATCTTGCCTGGGCTCATGGAGTAATAGCCTCCTGATAGTCTCATTTCTGGTCTTTTCCTTTTCCAATCTAGTCCCTCCATTTTGTCATCAGTTATCTTTTTAAAGCACAGGATCATTACAGTACTTAGCATACAGCAGATTTTCTGGCCTAAAAAACCATAGATTCCCATTATCCATATTATAAAGTTCAAATTCCTTAACATAACACTAGACCCATTGTAATCTGGGCCCGTTCTACCTTTCTGATCTTACCTCCCTCCACTAACCCTCTTTCTGAGGAATAATGTTCTCCAGCCACACTAACCACTCCTAAATTTATTTTCACCCTTGTTCATGTATTATACTGTTTCCTCTATCTGAAATAGTCTTGCTTTCCTAACAAAAGCTAGTCACCTTTTAATGTCTAATTCAAATGTCAGGAGGCCAGGCCAAAATGGCAGAGTAGTCAGATGCTTCCTGTGGTCCCTCCTACAACAAAGACTGAAAAAACAAGTGAATTCATTATATATGACAATTTAGGAGACCTGAACATAAAAGGCAGATTTGAGGAATCAGACTGAGTGGCAGGGAGAGGGAGAGAGAGTTCGGAAGCAGCAAGGAGTTGCCAGACCTGACCCGGCAGGAAATAGTACCCTGCAGCCGGCACACACGGTGAGGCAAACAGCGGTGCTCGGGACACGTTTTCCACATAACGGAAGAAACCAAGTGGCAGAGAGTTTACTCAAGCCTCCAGAACTAGTGAAAAGTGGCACTCTATCGGCAAAAGATAAGTACAGGCATCTAACCTACTGCACAAATCAAAAAACACCCCCTTTGGGAAAAACCTCTCTCCCATTTACCTGCCCCCTCCCTGCTCTGTACCTGGTCCCAGGCCAGCTTCAACCGTTGATATGTTTCCTGGGCAGAAGTAAGGACCCATCACGCTCCCTGAGGCAGTCTCTTGGCCTTGGAGAGGAAACAAATTAACAAACAGGAATAAATAATCTGCCAGCTCCCCTAAACTGGGAATTTAGGGTAGGTGCAGCTCCTTTGCCTAGGCACAGGCCTAAGGGGTTCACAAACTTTAAATGCCTTTCACCCCTGCATAGACATGTGTGGGCCCACTTCAAAAGCATAGGCCCTCCTTAGCACAGTACAACAGGGTATTTACCTGAAGCCTAACTTCAGCTGTCAGCTGTATGGTGGAGTGGCGGGTTTTTGACACTGCCCATTAAGCAGGGTCCTCACCCACATCAGGGGCTTCAGGACCAGTGGCTCCACTCATGCCACCTAGCCACCTGCAACAGGGGTCCAAGAATAAGTGGTGCCTCCCAGTCCTTAACAGCCAACAGCATTGGGTGCCAATAGTCCAGCTGCAAAACCCACCCACAATGTGCTCTAGGGAACAGGGACATGATTTCCTCCCAGACAGGGGCAGCTGTCAGCTCCCTTCCTTGCTCAGCATGTGACCCCCCACACACTACAGCCAGATACCTGTACCTATACCAATCAACTCTGCCCGTCTAGGACTGTAGGTGAGAGCCTGCACCACACACTTCGTGACCAACTACCTGGACACCTGAGCTGAATCCATAGAAGAAAAGTAAATGGATTCCTGGGCTCACATACCTAGTAACAGATCTAACTACCTGGAGACAGGACATTAGAGCTTCAAAGGTGCCAATAATCAAACTAGCTCACATGAGCAGCCTATTTGGGCATATCAAAGCAAAACAAAACAAGAAGCTAGGACACAGTAAGCAAACATAACTTATTCATGGCTTGGAGACAACAGTTAATATCAAATCACATAGAGAGGCAGACCATGATGGCTTCAGCAACCTCCCAGAACAAAGGATCAAGAAATTTTCTGGAGGAAGAGAACTTCTTGGAATTACTGGAGGTAGAATACAAAAGATTAATTTACAGAACTCTTCAAGAAATCAGGAAGAAGTTCAGTCAAAACGCAGAACAAGCCAAGGAACACACAGACAAAGCAAGAAAGGAACTTAAGAAGATTAGAGAAGAGCAATAATGACATATTTAATAGGCTGTAAGAATCCATAGAGAGACAGCAATCAGAAACCCAGAATATTAGCAATAAAATTTTGGAATTAGACAACTCAATAGAAAGTCATAGGAGCAGAACTGACGCAATGGAAGTCAGAATTAGACTGAAGATAAAGGACTTGATACCAACTTATTTAAGGAAAAATCGGATAAAAGGATTTAAAAAAGACGAAGAAACCCTAAGAATTATGTGGGACTCTATCAAGAGGAATAACCTACGAGTGATTGGAGTACCAGAACGGGGGGATAACAGAATATACAGAGAGAATTGTTGAAGATTTGTTGGCAGATAACTTCCCTGATATCATGAAAGACAAAAAGTTATCTATCCAAGCTGCTTATTGAAACCCACATAAGGCAGATCTCAAAAGAAAGTCACCAAGACATATTATAATGAAACTTGCCAAAAACCAAAGGTAAAGAGAATTTTAAGAGCAGCTAGGAATAAATGAAAAGTCATCTACAAAGGAAACTCAATTACACAAAGCTCGGGTTACTCAGCAGAAACCATGCAGACAAGAAGGCAATGGGATGACATATATAAAGCCTTGAAGGAAAAAAATTGCCAGCCAAGAATTATATATCCAGCAAAACTGTCTCTCAAATATGATGGTGAAATTAGGACATTTCCAGATAAACAGAAGTTTAGGGAATTTGCAAAAACCAAAACTAAAATTACAAGAAATACTAAAGGGAGTCCTCCAGTTAGAAAATCAATAACATCAGATAACAACCCAAGACAAGAACACAGGATAGAGCAACCAGATATCAACCCAGACAGGAAAGACAAAAACAAAGCTAAATCACTGATAACACGGAAACAGAGATGTCAATATGTAAAAGATGACAAGATTAAAACAAAAAAGAGACTAAAAAACAGTCATAGATCTTTCATATGGAGAGGAAGACAAGGCGATATAAAGAAATAAAAGACTGGTTTAAACTTAGAAACAGGGGTAAATATTAAGGTACCCACAAAGGAAACTAACAATCCTACACATCAAAATAAAAAACAAGAAAAACATAAAAGACTGCAAATACAAAATCAACAACAATGAAGAAGATGAAAAGAAAATACATAAAGAAAAACAACTCAGCGGAGGCGGGGCCAAGATGGTGGAGTAGTCAGACCCTTCCAGTGGACCCTTTTAAAACAAAGACCTGAAAAAAACACGTGAATCAATTATATATGGCAATCTGGGAGCCCTGAACATCCAAGGCAGAGTTGAGGAACTGGACTGAATGGCAAGGGGAGGGAGACATGGATCCAAAGCAGCGAGGAGTTGCCAGACTTGACCCAGCAAGAGCCGGAGCCCTTCAGGCCTGATCAACTCGGGGGTGAGCAGTGATGAGGCAAGCAGCAGTGCTCGGGAGGCACGTTTTCTGCACCGGGAGAGACCCGACCCCAGAGAGTCTACACGGCCACCCAGAAGCAGTGAGAAGCAGCCCTGGATCAGCAAAAGATAAGTACTTGCGTACGGTTTACTGTGCGGATCAAAAACGCCCCCCTTAGGGAAAAACCTCTCTCCCATTTACTGCCCCCCCACCCCCCGCTCCCTGCTCTGCACTGGGTCCCGGACCAGCTTCAGCAATTGCCGAGTCCCCTGGGCCAGAAGAAGGATCTGTCACACACCTGGAGCCATTCTCCCTGCCTTGGACAGTGAACAAATTAACAAACAGGAAAAAATAAACTGCCGGCTCCCCTAAGTCAGGAACCCAGGGTAGGCACAGCTCCTTTTGCCTAAGCACAGGCATAAAGGATCCACGGACTCTGAGTGCCTTTCCCCCACATAGACTTGTCTGGGCCCATCTCAACAGCACAGGCCCTCATTACCACAGTACAACAGGGTATATACCGGAAGTCTAACTTCAACTGTTTCAGCTGTGAAGTGGCAGGTTCTTGACAATTGACACTGCTCTGCCCATTAAGCAGGGTTTTCACCTACCCACATCAGGGGCCTGAGGACTGGTGGCTCCACCCACTCCACCTAGCCATTGGCAATAAGGGCCCATGAATAAGAGGTGCCCTCCAATCCTTACAGCCAACAGCATTAGGTGCTCATAGTTCGGCTGCAAAACCCACCCACCTACGTGCTCTAGGGAACAGGGACGTGCCTTCCTCCTGGACACTCGGGGGCGGCCGTCAGCCCCCTGCCTTGCTCAGAGTGTGTCCCCCTGCTGCAGCCAGATGCCTGTGCCTACACCAATCACCCATGCCTATCTAGGACTGTAAGTGAGAGCCTACACCACACACTTGGTGGCTATCTACCTGGGCACCTGAGCTGAATCCATACAGCTCACATACCTAGTAACAGATCTAACCACCTGGTGACAGGACATTAGAGCCAAAGGTGCCAGTAATCAAACTAGCTCATACGAGCAGC